TAGTATACTCGAGGAAAGCACAGTAAAGGATCAGCTCTGTTTGGAAATGTTGTAAAAGAACAACAACAAAAAAAGTTTTGGTTAGCTTTTTCATCACTGTGACCAAAGACTCAAGAGAACAATATAGAGGAGAAGGAAATAATTATTTTGGCTCATGGTTTCAGAGTTTCAGTCCATAGTCAGCCAACTCCATAGTTCTAGGCCAGAGGTGAGGCAGATATGGCAGAGTGGTGCAGCAGAGGAAAGTAGCTGAGGGTATGAAAACCAGGAAGGAGAGGGAGAGACAGACGGACAGACAGAGCACTCTGCTCACCAGGGACAAAATATAAACCCCAAATGACTGCCCCAGTGGCCTACTTCTTCCTTCACACCCTACCTACCTACTTTTATAATGCAGTTAGTTAATCCATTCAAGTGGATTAATGTGCTGATTAGGTTAATTTTATCATAAACCACCTCCAAAATTTTTTTGCATTCTCTCACAGGTGAACTTTTGAGGGAGATCTCTTATGTAAACAATAACAAAGAAGGAGGAAAATAAATTGCTAATAATTCAGAGCCAAAGAAGCTCCCTAAAACAAAAGTGTAAGATTTATAAAATTTATAGTCTTCATTTTTCAAGTTTGCAATTTTGCTATAAAAATAATAATAGTAATTTGAATGTAATAAATCTTGAATATAAGGTCATTTAACTACATATTACATATTTCTTAGATAATTTGCAACCTCTCAATAGGTACCTGGGACTAAGTTGTTCTTTTCATAATGTTTGTATTGCACTGATAAATAATATAAATAAGGAGACTCTTGTTCATACTAAACTAAAATTAAATTTAGGCTTCTACATCAAACTTCAACCTATTAAATTGCACATGGAATTAAATGGTTTTTTTTTAATCAATCAGAGAGATTGGCCAAAAGGGAAGTTAAGAAAACTACTATTTATGGAGAAGTGACTATATGACTGATGATTTATATCTATTATTTTATTTAATCTTCCTAACCCATTTTATAAAGGGAGAGAATATTGAAACTCAAGGAAACTAAATAACTTGACAAAGGTTCTTATGGCTAGAAAATAATGTAGTAAATGTCTAACTTAAAATGACTAACTTAAAATCCTGTGCTTTTTGCATATCTTCATGTTCTAGTACCAGAATGTTTTGTTTGTTTTCTATACACTTGGTAACAGAACAGATGCAAAAACTCTTCAGATCATACCTTCAGTCAAAATGGATCAGTGGGATCTGTCCCTGAAGGGGAAAATTGGCAGAACTGATATGTACGCATCACTGGTATCCTCTTTCCATGTTAGGTCATGCCTGTTATGGCTGACACCTCAGGCTAGTTTTCAAATCATTTTGCTACCCCATGTACATGAATTGGAACCAACTGCAATCAGAGGGTGACTGTCACCTCCAGGAGGTTGTCTATATGAGATTTGTGAAGTGAGTTAAAAGTATGAACCCAACTGTTTTATTTTGTGTAAGCCTGTGGTGACTAGGAATAACAGATTAATATTTTTATTCTTTTTATTGTAAGCACAGACTTATAAAAGGAACTCCTTTTACATGAGAAATGTACTATGAATACAAATTTTTCTTTTTACAAATCAGTGCTTTGCACATAAGAATCACTTATATATTTGTTATTGTTTTTATTTTATTTTTGTAGTTATAGATGAACACAATAACTTTAGTTTACTTATTTATTTTTATGTGGTGCTGATGATCGAACCCAATGCTTCACATGTGATAGGCAAGCATTCTATCTGAGCTGTTATTATTTTTATATGTGTACTTATTCAAAAATATATGTATATGCATACATATATACATACATACACTGTGTGTACATGTGTGCATAAGTGTGTGTGTATTTATAAATATTTAATAACACACACACACACACACACACACATACACGTTATAGTTTGGATCTAGAATGCCCTCCAAAGGCTCATGTATTGTAAACTTGATTCCTGGTCCGTGGTGCTATTGGGAGATGGTGGAAGGAAAATGTAGGTGTTGGAGCCTGTTTAGAGGAAGAAGGTCACTGGGGGCATTTCCTTAAAGGATATATCTGTCCCTGGTTCCTTCCTATTTTTTCCACTTTTTCCCTTCATCGTGGTCTCCATTTGGTGAGAAACTCTGTTTTGCCAAATTGTTCTCTCTATAATGTTCTTTCTTACCATAGGCCCATAGTGGTGGGATCAAGTGTCTATGGACTGAAACAGTGAGACAAAATAAATCTCTCATCTTTTAAATTATTTATATAAAAATATAAACAACAGAAAATTGATACTGAGAAGTGGGTCATTGCTTTGACTATACCTGACAATATGTTTGGAGTTGGTTACTGGGAGAAGTTTAGAAATGTTTGGGGAAGAAAGCTTAGAACATTGTAAGGAGAAATTAATAGACAATTCTGACGTGAGCTAAGAACACCAGAATGCTAGGAGGAATGTGGATAGTAAGGGTAGTGATGAGGTTTTAGATGAGAAAGAGGATTCAACTGGGAATGGAACTAGAGGACATGTGTTTTACATTCTGGCAACAAACTTGTCAACATTTTGTTCATGCCTTGAGAACATGTGTGAAGCTGAACTTAAGTAATGGAATAGTTTATCTGGCAGAGGATTTTTCAAGGCAACACAGCATAAAGGTAGAGGCATGGGTATGTATAACTGCTTTACACAAGATTTTCAGCAATATTTGGGAGCAAAAATCAGAGAAAAAGGACTTTAAAATTTGTAGTTTGGCAAAAAAAGAAGCATACATAAAAATGGAGCCAAGGAAGGCGTTCTTGCTAAAAAGATTAGCACTACTAAAAAGAAGTCAAGTACTTTGTACCAGTATGATAAGAAAGGTAGATTGAGAACTTCTCAGGAATTGATGCCACCCACCCACTGCAGACTGAAGGGTGTAAAAATATAAACTACTTTCAAAGACTTTGCTTTGAGAATGTATAACTAGGCCGCCCCTCTCATACTGGGACACCTACAAAGTTATTTCCCCAGGATTCTTTTTATTGTGCTTAGTCATTTAGGCACCTGCTGCAGCTATGGCATAGGTGGCAGACCTTGGTGTCATCTGAATGATGCTGGTTTGGCAGGTATGCAAAATGCAAGACTTGTGGAGTCACTCAGATTTCAAAAGGGAGTCTGGGAAGCCAGGCAGTGTGTGAAAGTTCAGAATCCCTGTGTTAGTCCCTGGTAGAGCAATATATGAAGCTTTGAGAGTGAAGAAAAAGCTGCAATAGAAGCCCCAGGAAATTAGAGATGTCAGGAATATGGAATGTCTGCTGAGCAAAGATATAGACAACAAGCAGAGGCAGCTCAAGAGAGTGACAATGTCTGTTGCAGATGGTAAGGCAGATGCCTAAGACCTTTGGAATTCACATCCTACCATCACATACCCTAGATGCAGGATGTGGATCTATAGGATACAATACTTGCCTTGCTGGGCTGTATTGCCACTATGGTCTGATTCTTCCTTGGTAATCCATCCCTTCTGTTTAGAATGGGAGTGTTTACCCAGTGTCATCATATGTTAAAGTACATAATTTGATTTCTTATTTTTATATGGATTACAGCTAGAATTTGCCTTAAAATTTAGATAATACTCTGAGCAATGCTGTAACTGCTAAGACTATAGGGCCTCTTGCATATGGATTGAGTGCATTTCGCATTATGAGAGGATATGAGCTTTGGGGGATAGAGATAGAATGTTAGAGTTTGGATCTGGAATGTCCTCCAGAGGCTCTTGTGTTGAAGGCCTAGATCCTTCAACATGGAGGTGCTATTTGGAGGTGGTGGAAATTTTAGGAGGTAGGGAATAGTTTGAGGAAGTAGATAAACTGGAGTGTGTCCTTGAAGAGTTTATCTTGTCTCCATTTACTTCCTTTCTCTCTCTTTCTCTTTCTTTACCCCCTGGCTAATTCAAGGTGAGCAACTCTGCTCTCCCACTTGCTCCCCACCATAATGTTCTGCCCCTGCAGGCCCACAGCAATGGGACCACATGAATATGGACTGAAACCTCTGAAACTGTGATCCAAACTAAATCTTTCATCTTTAGAGTTATTTTCTCAGGAGTTCTATCACAGTAATGGAAAGTTACTAACATAATACATATGTATGCATATATGCAAACATATATATATACACATATATGCATATATTCATAATTTATCATTTCCTACAAGTAGTTACTTTGAAAATAAACAATAAAGAACTTCAGACAATTACTATTATTATGTAGTGTTATGGGTAATATTTACAATGAAAATTGTTAATGGGATGATATATTGCACTGAGATGGTTGCTTTCTATTTATTAAATTATCCAAAAAGAGTTATTAAAGATCTGCCTTATGTTGATGCTAGAAGGGACATTAAAATGACAGGATATCTTTCAGCCTTAAAGGAGCCATGAGCTTTTGTAAAAAAAAAAAGGTGTGTCTATTACCATAATGCAATGTGACAAGTGCCATAAGACTGAATGATAAAGGAGCAGAAGAGACAGCAATGATTCTGCCTTTGTTCATGTGAAGATTTTGCAGAAGGACAAGTGCCATAAGACTGAATGACAAAGGAGCAGAAGAGATAGCAATGATTATGTCTTTGTTCATGAGAAGATTTTGCAGAGGAAGCAATAGTTTAGAAGATGTATGAAAGATAAGTGGTATTTATTAAACAAATATGGCTTGATCAACACCATCTCAGGAAGAGGAAATAGTTATATCTATGCTATGAACTACCTTTTTTTCTAGAACCAAGTCCCTGTACACTTCCATTAGCCATGATTAGATGGGGCTCTGCTTCATATTAGTTTCCTCCAGTCACCTATGACATACCTCATAGCTGTCCAGGCTTTGGAAGTAGAATCTTGCTAGTGAACACAAAAAGCAGATGCATGAGGGAAATTCTAGGAAAAGAAAGTTTGTGAGAATTACTAGTCAATGAAAAAAAGCTAATAGTCATTATTAGGCATAATTTATTTATATTACACAAAATATTTTTTTCTATCAGCTTTTTCAGTAAACAGTAGAAATTAGAATTTCAATTAAATAGTTCAACAAATCTAGTTGTAAATTTTATCTATAAAAATCATATCTCCTTTAGGTCCTTAAATATGTTAATTTTTTCTCCCAACAAAAAGAGCAGATCATGGACATCCTTTCCAGCTTGTAATGTGATTCCATAAGCTTTAATTCACTTGGAATTTCAGCAACAATGTGGTAAATAGAAGAGGTATTATCTATCATCATGTAGAACAGGTGTGAAAACTATAAAATTCAAGAAGTCTAAGGATTTGTCCCGGGTACTCTGGCTAGTATATGGACGATTTCTGGACTTTGAGTACACAACCAAGGCTCCCATAGTAAAATGACAGCTATCAGATCTTAACTTCTGGTCAAGGAATTCTTCCGACATTTGACAGTTTTCCTAGGGAATAATTTCAAAATATGACCTGATTTGATAACAGCTCTCAGGACTCTCCTGAATTCCATATTTCATTGTCATGAAGAATAATTTTTAGGTTAAAGTTGAACTAATAACACAGGAAATACTTGATTCAAAAGTTCTATAAATTTTGCACAACTTCTTTACTTCACTGCAGATTTGAAAATCTTCAAGATTTTATCACTGTATGTTCTTATTTTTACTTACCATTGTCATACAATGCTTACTTATTTTTTAGTATCTCTCCTCTTACCTTCCTTCCTCCCTTCTTTGTCTCTTTGGCACTTTTATTTACACATCAGCATCTAGATTTTCCTGGGTTAATCAAGGCTGTATTTGTTTCCTATGGCTGCCATAACAAAATACCACACAGGTCAGATAGGTTAAACCACAGAAATGTATTGTCTCATGGTTCAAGAGGCTACAAGTATGAGATTAAGATGTCAGCAAGATTGGCTTCCTCTGGAGCTCCCACCTCTTTTCTTGACTTATAGCTACTTTCACACTGTGATTTCACATATTCATCCCTCAGATTGTCATTATCTGTTATAATCTCCTTGTCTTATTAAGACATCAGTTTCATTGGATCTGTACCTACACTCATGACCTCATTTTAACATATTAACTCTTTAAATATAGTATCCCTAAATGAAGTCAAAATCTGGAGTTAAGGGAATTAGAGCTTCAACCTGTACATTGGGAGGGACCATCACTCAGCCCATAGAAAGGTCTTCTATTTTCCTTATTTTGTACTTTTGCAGTGCTTGTACATATGGAAAGAGCATTGATCTAGTTAAATTTCTTCTTGATCAGAATGTGGTAAATATCAATCACCAAGGAAGAGATGGCCACACAGGTATGACTGGGGTGAGAACATCCCTTGTTTGAGGTGCTTATCAATGGTCTAGAACAGTGGTGTGCCAAGGGGGAATGGGCCCTGACTGTGGTCAACCCCAGTGAGGATGGATATTGTATCAACTGACACCATTTAGCATTGATGGTAAATAGTAATAATAAAAGAAACATATTAAATTTTGGTTAGCCTGATGGTTGTGTTATCTATAGTCAGTGTACTCTCTTCTGGTCTTTACCAGAGACTGACCATGCTACCCTGCTTTGTTTGGGTAGTGAAAATAATTCTTGAGAATCTTCATTATTTTTCTTCTATAAAGATGCTAACATTCATTCTTGATAATATTGTAGATGTACAAATATTAAAAAATAATTCTGAGCAAAATACAGTCTATATAGACTGACTAGTATAGAATATTTCTTTTGCTTATTGTATGTTTCCTCCATAATAAAATTAATTCATTATCAGGTATATCAACCATTGCTTTCTGTCTCTGAAAACAATGTTGTTATGTGGTGACAACTGCCTTTTGAAAATCAAAATGTAGTTTTCTTCCTTTCTCCTTTCATCCTTTTATTCTTTTCTATTACAGGATTACACTCTGCTTGCTACCACGGTCACATTCGCCTAGTTCAGTTCTTACTGGATAATGGAGCTGATATGAATCTAGTAGCTAGTGATCCCAGCAGGTCTAGTGGTGAAAAAGATGAGCAGACATGTTTGATGTGGGCTTATGAAAAGGGTATATTTTTAATCATTGCATCTCTATAGTGACACATTGAACTGTGTGCATAGATTATGTCAATGCATCAATAATTCCTTTGCTTGCAAGACATGTACATGCTCGTTTCTTCTGTAGATTGTATTTGAGTCTCTGGAGATTTGGATCAGAGACCAATAGACCATCATTAGAGAAACCAACTCCTGCACTGCAGATAAGCTGAAGGCATTCTCAGTATTGATACACTGAAAAAGAGAATGAGCTACTGCATTTCTAGGTGCTAACTTGTGGTAGGAAATGATAGAAGAGTGGAATTAGAGCTGATCTTTATCTCTCTTTTAGGGGAATTTTGATGTGGATTCAAATTTTAAAACACAAACAAATATAAAGAAAAACAGGAGTATGTCAGAGTAAACCCTGTTGATAGTCCCTGTGCTAGAAAAATGTAAGGGAGCCACGATTTGTATTTAGGTATTAACTTATTTGAACTCAAAGCAGTGAGAACTTGGGATCTGGTGTGAGAACACCTGGGTTTATATCAAGTCATATTTTGTGACCTTGTGTAAATTATTTAATCTTTCTAGGATCATTTTTTCATTGCAAAATGTAGGTAACAACTCCAACTTCACAAGATTGTAAATATTAAATGTGATAATATGCACAAATTGCTTAGACCAGTGGCTGCACAAAATAAGCACCTAATAGTATTTTAGTAGTGATATAAGTGGTAGATTTTGTAGTAGGTCAGAAATAAAGATGATTGATAACACATTCTTTATTTCAAGGGAAAGGTAACTAGAGACATTCAGAAGTGAAACACCATCTTTGTTATTGATATTTAAGACATATTATACAACATAAGTGAGCTCTGCATATGCACATAAGCTCCTAAGGTGTTTAGATTCCTCAGGTGAGATGAGACAGTATTACTATAATTGAAATTATGTAGTTATGACTGAATACTGTATAATTAAGATTTTTATGAAACATTTTACTTATTATTTTAACTTTGATGACTACATTTTTAGGATGCTTAAAGTATGAAAAGAAATATATTTCTTTGTTTTAATGATATAAACATATAAGGCTATAAGATTTCTTAGCCTACTAAGATGAACCTATCTGAATCTCATCTGGTTAAAGTAAGATATGAAAATCCATCGAGATTGATTTTGGTCAATGGAAATGGAGAGTTATTTTAAGCATGTAAACAAAAAGGGAAAACATACAGATCTGAAGGCTGCTAGTGAAAAAATGATATAGGAGTTACTTTAATAAATACAAAATAATAAACATGGAATCATAAATAATAAGACAGTTATAGATCTGCTATCTTTTTGTTTTTACTTTTTGAGTATTGTATAAATACAAGTATATCCACCTTTGCACATATTGTTCTGCACAACTCAATTAACTTTTACAACCTGAACCTACCCTGAACACAGATGATGAATGTGAACATGACCAGTACCCTAGAAGCCCCACTTACGTTATCTTTCAATCTCTCCCCAAAGGAGTGTACACTACCTTCTGACATAGTTTTTCTTCTTTCTGAACTTTATATAATAGAATGCAACGGTAGGTATGTACTATTTTGTGTCTGGCTTCTTTTGGCCAACAATTTATGAGATTAATCCTTATTGCAGGATGTTGTAGACTGTTTATTCTTATCGTTCATAGGATAATGTTTTGTGACTAGATCACAATATACTTATTCATTCTGCTATCCATGGCCGTTTGGATAATTTCCAATTCGGGGCTGTTAAAAATACTGTCCTATGAACATCCATATACATGTATACTGTGAATTTCTTTTGATGGATATATTATTGCATTTTTGTTAGGTACAAAGAATTTCTCCTTTGTGTTAAAAAATAAATCTAGGTAGCTTGATATTTTAAGTATCAGCTGGAAAATCTTAAATATTCTGAAGCCTTAGGAGGCCTAAGTTCTACTTACCCAAAGCATTACATTTATTCAAGTGATTCTCAGACAGCATCTCTTAAGAAATGTGAGTTTCAGAGTAAGACTGTTTACAAAGCATTAGTCTTCCGGAAGGCAGCTCAGAAATTGCTGCTGCAGCTATCTCTTCACAGGGGTTGACTTTGTTTGTTTGTAGTTGATTGAGAGTGATAGTTGAAAACTGGCTTTACTTTTATTTTTTTGTGGAATTCCACACCTTACAAAACAATGAATCATAGTATAAACTCCTAAGATTTCCTGCCAAGCAACGGCAAAAATGCTTTAGAGGACTTGCCCACTGATCTCTGCAACATATGCCATATTTGTCACCTTTATTTGTTCATCTAATGTGCCAGGCATCAGAGTTGGATTCTATTATTACTATGAATTTTAACAAATTGAATGTTAGTACCCAGGAGACATATGGATATTTTACATATGTTCTAGGGCAAAGCAAGTCAAACCAGCAAAATGAAATTACTGCTATTTTCTCTTGCTGGAGAAATGTTGCACTGTTTTCATGTATTCAGAAAGGATTGAAATGGCCTTGTTGATACTGTCAACAGTGCACAGTTTCTGTTTTCATTGATAAAGAAATGCTTCCCTTTCTCCCTTGGAGAGAGAGTTGCCAAATTAACTGATATAGTACACTAAAAACTTTCCTGAACAATTTAGAGATGAAGCTTAGGAAGCAGTAAAACTCTGCATAGAGATCCTTCTTATTAGAATAGAGGTGATATAGGAATGGTTTCATTATGCTTTACCATGTACCATATGCTATCCCAGGAGAGAGAAACTAGAAGGGAGATTCAACAAGCAGTGTTGAGTTGAAAAGGAATATTTTTCTGTATGCTTCAGTAGAATAGCTCATCCTACTCTACACTCTGAAGAGAAAGACAGTGGAGTCTTTTTCAAAAGAATATGTCTTTGGTTCTAAACCAAATTTTTTAACAGACCCAGACTAAATTTTAGCTAACAATTTTTTTGCTATTCTAATATAGTACATTCAGGGATGTCTTGGAGTTCTGGAAAAGTTGTCTACTCTCTTTTGGAATATTTTCAAAACAAGAGTTTACCCACTATGGGTTCCTGTGGAATCAGAAATGAAGAACACTTTCTATTTACATAGCCCTTTTAACCTAAAGAGATCAGAATCAATCTTGGAAATAATTTTCTTGGTGCTCTTGATTCTACTCGGAAGCCTACTGGTTAAGTTTCAGTATTTCTCTGCTCGACTGCTTAAAGTTCCAATTCCACAGTATTTAGAGTGTTTCTCCTCTCCAAGTCATCCCCTACCCCCACCCCCTTCTTTTCTACTATTATTTCTGAAAGTGTAGTGATGGCTGTCTCACTCACTTGGATTTGTTCTGCCCTTACCCAGGGGTACAAAGGACTTGTATGAATCAATTTAAATTGGCTAGAAGAAATAGCCAGCAGCTTGGTTATGTTCAAATCCTCTGCCCTAATCACCAGTATGGAAAACCCATTGAAAAGACCTACACATAATCTTACATCCATTGCATTAAAGATGAAACTGCCGAATTGAAAAGATCTCAGCCAATTAGAATTGAACACATAGCTCAATAGTGTGTCTGGCAGTTAGATTTGAAAAGGCTGCCTTTGACAAAGAAAAGCACTCCTTTATGTCAGGCTGTTTAGGGTCAGAAAATAACCCAAACCAGAAACAGGACTAAAAACTTCTGATTTGCTTCGGTACTGACACCAGTTAAAGTAATTTAGAGAGGCTCCTCTCCCAATATCTAATTATCCAGAATACAATATTTGTATACAGCAGAAGCACTCTAATTCACAATGACAGGGAGCTGGAGTTGGAGAATTAGTGAGTAAGTGAGCAAAAACAATAAAAATCAAGGCTCCTGTACCATGATATATACTCTGTTCATTCCTTTTGACAAGTGTAGTATGGTGTGAATTATTTATAGTAAATGTACTATAGTGTATTCTCTAAAAGTAATGAAATCTTACAGTCATGAGTTTCTACAGGTTTTAGCCAGTAAAAAATAACTGAGAAATGAAGGTTAGGAAGGAACAGAAGAAGAGGTAGGTCCATTAAATTATTTTATAAATTTACAACAATGAATTATAAATTCATAGGCTACTTCTATATTACATTCTTACCTATTAGAATTTATTTCCTGGTTTAGTGAATAGTTAGTAGTTTAGTGAATATAAACTACTTAGGGGCTGAAGTTTAGTGTGCTAAAGTAGATTAGGAGGGAGATAAAGGAAGGGTTAAACAAAAGACTTAGAGGGTATTTCAAAATCCATGAGGTTTTTTTGTTTTGTTTTGTTTTGTTTTTGTATATTGGTTACCATTCTACATATGTAGTTATTCTCTTTTAAATATAAATGAATAAAATAACACTAAGCACTATTAGAATGAGATTTTCTATTACTATTTGGAGATAAGTTACAAATTTCTTGAAATATATTAACTGCAAGAATCTGCATACTTAGAAATTAGAAGAGAACTTACTTTAAGTAACTATTGCATATGCATATAGATATATATATAATTTAATTATCAGTGTATTCCTATGAATGGGCATTATCTTACTACTATAAAGAATTTGGGACTTAGAGTTGTTAAGTCACACAGCTGTTAGTAGAGAGCTGGCACCAAAGGTCTATCCTATTGCAGAGTTCAGGCTTTTACCACCACAATATAAAATCAGTCAGATCTGCTGCATTCCATCATTAGTACTCAACGAACTTCAATCAGTTATTTAATTTTTTTCACTCCTCATCCTCAAAATGAGGAAATTTACCAACACTTTATGGCATTCCAACGAAGGTTAAGGATAAGATATAAATGCTTGGAACTTAACAGATTCTCAATAAAAATGGGGATAGGTGTTATTGTTAAATAAAGGGTGGAGATACAATTGAGTCTGTATAACTCCCAAATCTTACAGGCTTTCCTAATCTACAATATGATTTTATATACAATAAGAAATACTGATATATTAAAATGATGGGTATCCTCAATAAACCCACTGATGAAGCTGTATCTTACAAGTAAACACCACTGGACAATC